TTCTTATTAAATAAAGTATTAATAAATAAATAACAAAATATTTCACTATGAAAAATTTTTGTATATAAAATATTTTTAAATTTGTTTGTAATTTATGAAGAATGAAGAGATTTTCTACTAAGATATTTCTATGATAGATAGAAAGGCTTCGTTCTTGCTACAAGTTGATATGTATTTCATCTTTGTAGCAACAATATTTATCAAGTTATTACAGTTTAAAAATCAAAATATTAATGAAAAATCTTTAACAAATTTTCTGGAGATTTCTCAGATATTTCTTAATGGATATCGATGCTACAGAGATAAAATATATACCAACTTGTAGCTAAGAACAAGATCTTTCTATCTATTATAGAAATATCTTAGTAAAAAATCACTTCATACTTCATAAATCACGAGTGAAGTCAAAAAAAATAATTTTTATATACAAAAATTTTTGAAAATTCCGTTAGTTCCATCAATCCTATCAGCTTCAATCTCAAGCTAATGGGGTCAAATCAAACTTATAAATCCCATCAAACCCATCAACCCTCTTCAACCCCATTGACTTCGATGGCTTGGTCTGGTTCAGTATGACTTGTACTTTCAAGTTGATTAGGTTCAGTTCGGTTCAGCTTAACTTGCCAACGGTTTGGCTCGACTTTGGCCAAAAGTCGAACTGAACCGGACCGTAACAACACTACACCAGAGTCTAGGCTATACTTGCACGCAAAATTATTTTGGGGTTCCGAAATTACAATTTTGGAAAAAAAAGTCGAAATAGTTTTTTATAGAAGACAAAATTATTTTACTTAAAACCCAAAATTTTTTGACCATCCAGATTTATTCTTTGATTAAAGATATATATAACTGGGTACTTTTTTTACTTCCATATATAGAATAGATTTTGCATAAATCTCAAAAAGTCGAAATATCTCAAAAATCAAAAATCAATTTTGGGAACATGTATAGTCTAGGCTCTTATCCTAGACCTTCATGTGACATTATGTTAAATACATGGGTAGGGTTAAGGTTTGTCAGGGGCAGGATATCATCATCATGTGTCAATATTGATTTTTATTAAATATCCTGGGACTTGGACATGCGGAAACCATATTTGTCGTCACCACCTGTCACATTATAAACCAATCAAATTCGAAAATCATGAGTGTCTAGAATAAAAAAAATCCTAGACCCGGGGGGTTAGGTTATGGATGCTCTTTTAAGTAACATTGTTCATGTGATTTATAGAATATGACATCGAATAAGATTTTCACTATGGAGTCTGCGGATTATCTGTACTAAGTTGCGCATGTTACTTAGCATATCAAAAAAAAAAATAATCATAGGTGTATCAAAAAACGATATTTTTGCAGTTCCAATTGGACGATCATAAGTAGTGAATAGTAGTGAAACTTGTTTTTTGTTGAATTTATTTTATGTTAATGTAATACAAATCTAATATCAAGAGGTAATGATATGTTTTTATTTACATAGTAATTATAAAAAAAATTTTATTACTTATTTATTTCATTTATTAATTTTTAGAAAAAAAAAGTGATTTATTTAAATCGATACTTTACAGATTAGATTATTATTATAGTACAACGAATATAGTGGTTGGGCCAATCAGGTCTTCGTTATAAAAATTTGTTAAAATTCATAAAAAATCCGGCATAACGTATAACGAATATTTTTTAGAAATTCGATATAAATCAAAATTTATAATTTTATTATTTATATATGTACTATGGTATTCTATCATCTTTTTAGATTCAGAATTCGCCAAATTATTATCGTATGAGAATCGGCATGAAAAAATTCTTTGTTATGCTGAAAAAAAAAATTCATTATTTTTAATATGCGCTCACCAGGTTAACTCTTATAGATTCGTTATATCAAATTTTTTTTATTATGAAAAAAATGGTCCAAATAAATATTCGTTATATTAAGAAATTTATTATATCGAGACTTCGTTAAAATGAGGGTTAACTGTGGCGGAAACTACTTCCCATTTACAATTGCCCGTTGTATTATCATTTATTTATATCTTCAAAATTTGCCATACAATTTTATTGGTTTATTTTCACGACTGATTGATCAACAAATATTTATATTTCTTTCATACAATTTTATTGACTGATTGATCAGCACAATTCAATAATCGAAATATATATGTATATTCCGCTTTAAAACAATGTCCATATGATGGGAGTTATTTATATTTATTGACTAAATTGTAAATACGCGTATGCATTGAAACATTAGTTTGATAGCGTCGTTCTAATATTCACAACAAATAATTTATAATAGGGAAAAAGATAATAAAATTTTCTTAGATTTTTCATCTCGTTTTCTTTTTTCTCTGAATTAACATCTCATAACAACAAAAATAAACCATGAAATCAATTATAGCTATCTTATTGATCATTTGTTTACATATAATTTCTTCGCAAGCAATTAAAATTCCAGGTCCATGGATTGTATCAGATATTGCTGGGAAACGAAAGTATCCCGGTGAAAAATGTACCCTTAAAATACTTTCCCCACTATTGATGTTTCTCTCGCTCGAGGAGGATCTTTAATCACCAAATGTCTTCTCACAAACGTCAAATTACGCCAGGGAAGCAACAAAGTTACTATTAAACTTCCATCCTCGGGTTTTTTCGCAGTAAAAAGTCCTGAATACTTTTTATTCATATCTGTTAATAATCTTAGAGTTGATTATTCAAAATTGGAAATCCTAAATTTGGTATTACTATTAAAAAACCAGCCGTTGGTGATATTTTAAGAAGAGGCCAAACATTAAAAGCTAGATGGTCCGGTTCCTATTTTAATCCAGGTTGTCTAGTTACTGCTTTCCTTGCACCTGTAATCATTCCACTACCACCTAAACCAGTTATAGCTTGCCATTTCATAAATGGTGTGAATTTAACTTTCTCATCTGGTTGCCTCAATTTCAAATTACCTAATACAATACCTTGTATAAATTCGGATGAGTGAGCATATGCTTCTGGTCCTTACTTAATAGAATAACTATTATTATTTTTGTAACTTTCTGAAATTTTTTCCGTTTAATTACCAAATTAGATAAATAATTTTATAGAATAATGTATAATAACGATGCTTTAATTATTAAATAAAATTCATTAAATAAATTCTATTTTCATAACATGTAATAAATGAATAATTGATAATACCTCATTCATATGAAAAATAAATATTTTTATTTAATTAGGCATTACTGATATTATTTCTTCAAAATTCGTCACAGGTTTAATATTTGCACAAAATTCGAAATTGTATGTACAGTATATTCCGCTTTAACACTACACATATGATGGGAGTTATTTATTGTTATTGACTAAATTGTAAATACGTGTATACATTGAAACATTAGTTTTGATAGTTTAGTTGTAGTGTTGTCCTAATATTCACAACAAATTATTTATCATTCTTATGAAAAGGTATAAGAATAGGGTTTTCATCCTCGGATTATTTTTCTTTCCTTTTCTTTTTTCTCTGAATATAATAATATCGATACTTTAATTGTTAAATAAAATTCATTAAGACATGATCCGCCTAAGAACGGCACTATTGACATAAAAAAAGTGGGGTAAATTTATAATAATTCATAATAATTTTAAAAAATTGATTTTTTTCAGTGTATAAGAAAATATCTTTTATTTTTTGAAAAATTCGTCAAATTTTTTACAAACAATAGCCAAATAGTATACTTAATAGATATTAAAACTTCATCTATGACTATTTCTATACTTAACTTTAGGGCAGCTGATGATTTATATTTTTATTAAATAATATATCCCCGGATTTTATTATAAAACAAGTGTCGATCTTAGCCGGATCACGTCTTAAATAAATTCTTATTTTTACATACTTCTTATATTTGCTTAAAACAGCCAGTTTCCAAAATTCTTCATAAAATTTTATTGGTAGATCATTGAACATTAGAAGGACATGACATTTGTTACAACAATCATAGGGAAAATAAATTAAATTGTCATTGATAAATGAATTGAAACATTAGAAGTGCATTCATTTTATAATTTTATCATTCTTGTGAAAAAGGGAAAATAAATAATAAAATTTCTTATATAAATACAAGCTTTTAATCTTAAATATCTTTCTCTTTCGGCAATATTCTTCTTGACTATAATTTCACGAAAATACATCCAATATTATACATTGCCATAACATTCTCATTATCAGCTACTTTCTGAAAATATTTTGGTTGCTCCTTTTTTTCCCATTCTGCTAATGTTTTACCAATGACATTATGCACAATTAATCTTGTGTAATATGTGATACCAGAAAAAGGCATAAATTTTTATTTCATAATTCTTCATGAATGACATTTCGTATTACAGAAGACGCAATTCAATAATCAATCGGGGGGGGTCATTTATATTAGTTACTGACTAAATAATCATAGATGCATTGAAACATTAGGAGAAGGGCATAATTTTTATTGCACGACATTCAATTTATAATTTTATCATTCTGGGAAAATAAATAATAAAATTTCTTATAAAAGAATAGGTTTTTTAACCTTGAATTATTTTCGTTTTTCAAGCGATTTCTTTTTTCTCTGAATAAATTTCATAAAAACAAAAATAATAACAATGAAATCAATTATTGCCATCTTATTGGTCATTTGTTTACATATAATTTCTTCGCAGGCACATAAAATTCCTAAAATTCCAGGTCCATGGATTGTAACAGATATTGCTGGAAAACAAAAGTATCCTGGTTCAACATGTACCCTTACAATACTTTCCCCAAATAAAACCACTATTAATGTTAATATCCTCCAAAGAGGATCTCCTTTTAACCAATCTCTTCTCACAAACGTCAAATTATGCCGCGGAAGCAACAAAGTTACTGTTAAATTACCATCGTCAGGTGTTGTAGCAGATCCTAGATATTATTTCACCATATATAATACTAATGGTCTTAGAATTGATTATTCTGCAACCTTCCAAATTGGAGATCCTAAATTTGGTATCACCATTCGTAAACCAGTCGCTGGTGATATTTTAAAAATAGGCCAAACATTAAAAGCTAGCTGGTTCGGTTCCTATGTTCCTCCAGGTTATAGTCAAAATAATTTCACAGTAGTTAGAGCTTTACTTGAACCTGCAATCATTCCACCAAGTCAACCCGTTACAGCTTTCAATTTTATTCCTGGTCAGAATTTAACTTTCTCATCTGGTTGTCTCAAATTCACATTACCTAATTCAATACCTCGTAATACTTTATATAAATTTGGATTTTTGATTGTATCTTCAATTTCACCATATAATCAGCAAATTTATTCAGCTGGTACTTTCTTAATAGTATAACTATTATTATTTCTGTAACTTTCTGTAATTGCTTCGTTCAATTATCAAATCAGATAAATAATTTTATAGAATAATTTTATAGAATAATATATAATAATATCAATGATGCTTTAATTATTAAATAAAGTTCAATAATAAATTCTATTTATTTATATTTATTATTGTTATTATTTCTTCCATAATTTTATTCACGTGTTACATAAAACCGAATTATTTAAGGTAATATAAATAATAAAATTTTCTAATATAAGAATAGGATTTTCATCCTCGAATTATTTTTCGTTTTTAAAGAGATTTCTTTTGTCTCTGAATAAAGACAAAAATAACGATGTCAATGAAATCAATTATCGTCACCTTATTGGTCATTTTTTTACATATGATTTCTTCGCAGGCACATAAATTCCAGGTCCAACAGATGTTGCTGGGAAATGTACTTCCTCCTATAAAACCACTATTAATGTTATCAAATTATGCCACGGAAGCAACAAAGTTACTGTTAAACTTCCATCCTCAAGTTTTTCACAGAAGTAAAACCTTCTTAATAACTGTTAATTATTCTAGAGTTTATTATTCTGGAACTTTCAAAATTGGAAAATTTAAACAAAAAAAAATCAAATATCTTAAATTTCAGAATTTCATGATTTATTGTAATTTATCAATATGTTAAGTTACAATATGTATTTTTTTATTTTGATAATTATTTTAATAAACTTATTAAATTGAGTTTCTTTTAAAGAAAACATTGAAATGAATGAAATCTTTAAATTTTAATATAAAATTACATCATTCGCGTTCTTAACAGTTAATAAATTCATTCAAATTTGCAAACTTTAACTAAAAATTTACTTTATTAACCAAAAGAATCCGAGGAGAATTTGGTTATTTTAAGCAAACAATTTGATACAATAATTTTCAATTTTTTACATTTCCCACAACTCCTTTATATAGATGAAGATATGTATAACACGGATACTAACTGGATACGTGACAATTTAGGAATATTCAGATCAAGATATAATAATTTCTTAAATAAATTATATACATATTTAACGTATTTTATTAAAAATAGTAGTCATACTTAGCAATGCTTAGTATGCCTATTATGTATTGACCCCTTGCTTCAATGTTATGAAATAATCGAGGAAAAAAACAGCCATTTTAAAAGGAAAAAAAAAATACTTCTTGAGAAATGACTCAAAATTACAATTGATTAACTTTAAAGTTTTTTATTTTCACATGTGTATAAGATAATTCTATATTAAATAATTGCGTCTACTGCGTCTACTGCGTATACTCGGATGTTTAAATTAAACTAATTAAATTAATTAAATTACCATGAAATATTCATTTTTTTACATAATTCTATAGCTGGCTTATTCTGATTACAAGCTGCTAATCTTAAATATCTTTCTCCTTCAGCAATATTCTTCTTAACTAAGATTCCACGATAATACATATTTCCAATATTATACATTGCCATAACATTCCCATTATCAGCTGCTTTCTGAAAATATTTTGGTGCTAACGTTTTCTCCTTTTTTCCCATTTTACTCAAATAATTTCCATATCTCAATTGTGCTTCTGGTATATTTCCTTCATCTGCCGCTTCCTTAAATAATTGCATCGCTTCTTCGGTTCGTTGACTTTCTAGTTCTTTAGGTCCTTTAAGCTCATTGTAATATAAGTAATAACCTTTCCAATATTTGGCATCGATGTCACCCAATGCTGCATATTCTTCAAAACATTTCCATATACTTTCTTTAATACTAATATCTTCTTCATGATTTTTCGTGATTTCTTCATGTTTTGCGATGGCTTCATATAGTGTCATATCTCCAATTGATGTATAATCAATAGTGAGCATACAGTCACTATCAATGTCATTTTCATCTTTTTTAATTTGTATAGGTTTAATATTTGGTGAGTTCTTAGCGGATTCGGATTGAATCATAATTGCTTCAAATAATCTCTTAAGCGATAAAAACATATCAGTAAAATTTGGTCGAAATCTTGGATCATCATTCCAAGCTCCTATTATTATTATTATAAGATAAAGATATTATTTGAATAAAATATTATGTATGATAATAATAAATCCTTCATGTTTAAGAAAGAGTAACATACCACATGTAGAGCTTGAAACTAATCTTTCATAGTCAGGATGTACTCCTGGGGAAAATTTCTCGCGATATCCTTTTATGACCTTTCCTCGAATACTCATGATACTATCATCGTCCTCATATGGAATTTTTAATTCCCATATTTCCCACAATAACACACCGAAACTAAATTAATATAGAATATTAATCAAAAATTAATAAAAACTTAATTTTTTTTTTTTTTTAAATAATAATAATAAAATGAAAACGGTACAGTATAGTATTTACCTGTAAACCTCACATCTAGTATCATATGTATGTTCTCTGTAATCTTTTTGATTTTTATAATCAGCTTGTGATCTTAATTTTTCGGGTGCCGTATACCTAACGTTTTTGATGTTTGCTTTAATATTTCGCGTAGCTTCTGAGATTCCACGACTGAATGAAAAATTAGCAATCTTTGCTTTCTTTTGAAGTGTAATCAAAATATTTTCTGAGCTAAGATCACGATGAAGCATCTGTACTGATGCCAAAAAATTAAGTCCTCGAGCGATATCAAGGGCAAATGAAATTTTTGTTTTTTGATCCAAATCTGTACGACTTTTATAAAATTCCCTTAAATTACCATTATCCACCCATTCCGTGACTAAAAATAGATTATCGTTGTCTTTACATAATCCAATAAATTTAATAATTTCTTCACATGTTTGGAGTTTCTTTAAAATGGTTACTTGTACTGATACACTATTCATTGTAATATCTGGATCATCTTGAATAGACAACTCTTTAAAGGCCAAATCAATTTTATCAGATTTTCGAGTTCGCCTGTGAACTTTTTTATTACTACTTACTGAATTAGGATCAAATTCATAATCGTTAATATTTAGTGGATCATCGGCAGAAGGTTGATGATTTACCGAATTGTTAAAATTTTCATTTAGTGTTGAAATAATTGTGACTATTTCATTAACCTTATTGTCCATGTTTGTAATACCACTACCTATTGAACCTAGAAACTAGTTTTTTTTTTCAAAAAAAAAAAAATTAAAAAAATTTTTTTAATAAATAATGTTGCAAAGAAAATAAAGAAAATTCAAAATTATCATATTCAATCAAATTAATTCTTACATCTTTCATAATTCCAAGGTCTTCTTTGATAACTTGTGCATCTTTCGCCGATTGAATTTTAGAGTCAATGGTAATGGCAAATTGTAATACGTTCATGTGATCATCAAATTTTTTGGCTAACTCTCGAAAAGTATCATCAATAGATTCTGCTCTTAAGTATTTACTTATTTTGGAAAGTTGTGATATTTCACTCGCAAATTTTTTAATTTCTTTAATGGTATTTACAAATCCTTTTAATGCCAGGTAATTGCTTTTAGTAAAGAATGAGATATATTCTTTTCTACGGATTTTAAGATTACGAACAGCAGCATCAGCAACTGTAACCTAATATCATAATGATGATTTGATGGGGGTGATTAATAAATTGATAAAAATAATATTACAATAACTTATTACAATTATTAACACAATCAAATAATAATAATTTATTATAATTATTAATAGAATAATTTATTCTAATTATTAAAAGCGCGTTTCATTATGTAATTGACTTACCCTATCCAATAAAACTCCACAAATTTTTTTATTATGTTGAGCTACATCATAAATGTGAATAACTTGATTTAAAATATTTGCTACATCTCCAACGATGGGAAAAAATTTTGAAACCGGGTCCAGGATTGTCGAACCCATTGACGCAGTAAACTGACAAACATCTAATACTAATGAAGTTGGTTGAGCTAAGTTACTGACTCCTTCAAAATCGTCAAGTATATCTGTCTGTTCCTCTTGTTCCTCTTTTTCCTCTGTATTTTTATGAGATGAGACATTCTGGTTACTATCTTCCGAAAATATTTCTGAAGTTGAAGCTGAATTGGAGCGGGTTGAAAGACCGGATTCATCATGGTGACGAGAAGAACTTTTAAACAGTTTTTTCTTTAATTTACGTAAAGACATTTTTTTTTTGTATTAAGAAGATATATTATATTATATTAATGCGATTATTATGATAATAATTTTTGCGAATATCAGAAATTTTATTTTTAAATCAATGAAGACTTGCTCCAATGTTAATTATTTTTGATAATTATACTTGATAATAATTATTTTGAGAAAGATTTTTACAAGATAAAGATTGTTAATAACAAGAAAAAGGTTTCAAGGTTTTTAAATATTCGTTTGTACTATAAACAAATACGGAAAAAACTTATTTACAATATGAATGTAACAAATTTTATGGGAAATTAATTGAACAAAAAAACTCTTTGAAAAAGACATCTAACAATAAAACAGTTTCGAAACAAAAAAAAACAAGGAGAACTGATTGTGTGGACGGTGGTTCAACATTTGGTGAAACAAAATAAATTATTTTGGGCGTTGCAAAATGGAAAAAATGGAAAAAATGGAATTATTACATATAATTTTTAGATTTAAAAACATTCACTTTCCTAAATGAGCGCACACGTTAAATTTTGTAAAGCTTTATCTTTTGTAACAATTCAAAGAATGGTCTCCTTATGTAGATAGATATTAGCTATATATAGTAATTGAAGTTGATTCGAACCATTAAATAGCATTGATTTACAACAATCATTAATCACTACAGAAATGGGATTAATGGAATTAATGAAGATTGGTTTAAAAATATGCATTTTTTTAACTAAATAAAATGTTTTTTAATTTACAAATTTAATTTGTTAATTTATATTTTTAATTTTTCGAATCTATTTAAAATATTTGTTTTACATTTGTTCAATGTCTTTTTACTGTAATTTGATTATATTCGATAAATTAATTTAAAGAAATAAATTAAATTAAATAGCTAATATTATCTTAATATTATTATCAATGCTATTATTCAGAAAATGTATCAAAATTTCTTATTGTAGAAATCTCATTTTATATCACCTACTCTTTTTGGTTTGTTGATAAAACTGTTTAATTATTATTATCATCATCATTATTATCAGTTCCATCAATTTCACATTCTTCATCAAAAGATTTGAGATTACTTCCGAAACCTGTATTTCCTAGAATAGCATTATTAGATCTAATGGTTAATAATGTTGAATTACTACTTCTAACACTGAGACTACCCCTTCTATAATTACTTGATGTGGTGACTTGTCGAGACATGAATTCATCATCAATTTCAATATTTGAAATATTTGGTCTTGACAAAGTTCTAGTAGGTCTATTTATAGATGTGGTAGGTTGTTCCTCATCAAGAAGTTCGGGATCATTATTGGTTTGTTTAGAGGAAGGAATAGAACGTGAAGACCAAGATGATGATATGCGGGTACCGATCGTTTCATCTTGTAGAATGAAAATTATTGTTGTACAGTTTAATATAGTTGATACGCTTTGTAAAGTCTATTATGAATAAATTAATTAATTCTTATTAGAAAAGCGACAATAATATATTTTTCAAGAAAATGTAATAATAAAATAAATTTAACAAAAAATTTTTTTTTATTTTACCTGTTGCGTCCAGAAATTTTTAATGGTGGTGTCAAGAAATAATACAAAACCCGCAAGTATAAATGAAGTTATCGCTATTAAACATGAAATAACTATTACGAACATCTATTATAATTTAATATAATATATTTATTTAATTAAATATATTAATATTATTATTATTGAACTTATAATGAAATGTAGATAAAAGTATCAATAATATTTATGTAATTTACCTTCCAAGCAGTTTTTCGTCGTCTTAATTGGAACTTTCTAAAGATCACCTTTTTTCTTAAAGCATTTATAATTAAAATTCCAAAGGTAATAAATACTATTCCAATAAATGTCAACGCAACACTTTCCATACCATATCCAACTTTCAGTGTCATCATAACCCTTGATACTTTGGAATTTGATACAGCTAACATTCTTAATATAAAACTTGCAATAAAAGTTATTACGCAAAAGATTAATATATATGTATAAATTGTATTTAGGATTTGCGCAAATTTTTTATTCTTATTATTTTCTTGACATATTCTTGTTGCTGCGGATTTCCTGAATAATTAATATGATAAGATTTAAAAAAAAAAAAGCTAGTTGATTTAAATTTTACAAATTTACAAGTTTAGTAAATAATTTACCATAACATTTGGACGACCACAAGAAAGATTGCAATTAACGTGTTTCGGAAATAAAATAAAAATCCTTGCGCATACACAGACATTTTTTGTTCATAAATATTACTAGGATCCACGACAAGTATTATAAACGTGCCTATTAAAGAGTAATAAATGAAATGAATAATAATTAGATATCAAGTAAATTTTCCAATAATAAAAAAAATAATATTTGCGTGATTTATAATAATACTTACATATACAAACAAAACAAATTCCCGGATAAAGCCAAAATTTTACATTTCTCATCGCGAATCCATATATCTGGTAGGTTCTTGAAAGGAAATACAAAGTCACCATCATAACAAAAAATAATAAAGTACTTATTACGCCACTCCATATTATGAAAGGTGAACTCATTGTAAGTTCAATCCAAGGTCCTGGGTCTATATAAGCATGAATTTAGAAAATTTAGATTTTTTTTTTTTTTTTACTTAAATATGGCAAGTTTTTTTTTTTTTTTGAAAACAAACCTGCTGTAATATTCGCATTCCTAATTCTACTGGAAATATTTTGTATGTTTAATACATCATCATAACTGAGTAGTGCTAATCTAACTGAAGATCGATTAATAATGGTTCGTTTTCCACGATATGGTTCATTTAGACCAGGGATACCGTTATTTCCGGAACTAAAAACAATAATTTTTAACTGGGATGAATCTCGTTTTTTATATTTATTATGATTTAAAAGTGGTTTGGTAATAATCTTAGTGGAAGATGGTATCAATGTGGGAATTATTTTCTTTAAAGATGTCGAAGTATCCAATGCCAATGTTGAAAATGTTGTTGCATCCTGCATTGATGTGGAAAGCACGTCATTCTTAGAGTCATCTAATGGCGTTGAAGGAGAATGAGTAGCTAGTGTAGATGTGGAAATTTCAGTGTCATCTCCCGACAAAATAGGAAGAATTTTATTTGTTAATGGAGGAAGTGTTGTCAGTGTCGGTATGGAAAGTACATTGTTTAATGTCTCGGTTTCAACTAATGACGAAGTAGAACTATCTGAAGTCAATGTAGGAAATGTTTCCAGTGTCGTGGAAAGTTTGAGACTAGAAGTATCTGTCGTTGCTGATGTAGAAACTGATGAAGTGGAATGTTTACTAGAAGTGGGCCGTATTTTATGAGAATGGAGCGGAAGCACACCATCTACTAGAGATGTCAAAGTGGGAGGAACACCATTTACTGTGGAAAACCCATCATTTACTGGAGATGTCAAAGTGGGAAGAACACTATCTACTAGAGATGTCAAAGTGGGAAGAATACCATCTACTGTAGAAAGCACACCATTTACTGTAGAAAGCACATCATTTACTGGAGATGTCAAAGTGGGAAGCACACCATCTACTAGAGATGTCAAAGTGGGAAGAACATCATTTACTGTGGAAAGTACATCATCTACTGGAGATGTCAAAGTGGGAAGAATACCATCTACTGTAGAAAGCACACCATTTACTGTAGAAAGCACATTATTTACTGGAGATGTCAAAGTGGAAAGCACACCATCTACTAGAGATGTCAAAGTGGGAAGAACATCATTTACTGGAGATGTCAAAGTGGGAAGTATACCATCTACTAGAGATGTCAAAGTGGGAAGAATACCATTTACTGTGGAAAGTACAGTGGGAAGTACATCATTTACTGGAGATGTCAAAGTGGGAAGTACACCATCTACTAGAGATGTCAAAGTGGGAAGAATACCATCTACTGTAGAAAGCACACCATTTACTGTAGAAAGCACATTATTTACTGGA